AGCAATACCACCCATGGGTGACCTGGCAGGTCTCCTGCTGTGACCCTTGGAATCTGGTCCTTTTCCCTTGATCAATGGATCAGACACAGACCCACGGGGAGAAAGAGGCTCAGCATTTCCCGGGCCGTGGCCTCCCCTTCTGCCTCACCTGACGCGGAAGCCTTTTGCGGTAAGGCTTCGGCTTTACAAGAACATGCAACAGACAGAATAGGAACTCGGGGCTCCGGACCAGCTCAATGAGGGTTTCGTATTGTTTTGCCATGTAAAGCAGTTCCAAGAAAAGTGAAGTCACAGCCCGCTGCTCCTTCTCAGTTCTTAGAAAAGGGCTGATTTCAAAAGGGAAGCTGTGCTGCCCTCGCACACGGCCCCGCTGCCTGGCGGCCGAGGCTCCTGAGCTGGCTTTGATTTGGCACCAAAAACGGAAGCCTCCGGATGCGTCTTCATCTGGTGATACCAAGGAGGAAACGTCCTGTTCACAGAAACCGCACAGCTCGGCTGTTGCGCCCGCGGCCCACCCCCAGCCCTGGGGCCACCAGCCGTTTGGGGGACAGTTGGAAAGACAGAACCCTCCTCCCTCCGCCCAACACACTCAGCTGCGATGCCCAGGCATGGTGCCACCCACCAGCACCTTCTAATGGGGGTGGTTACTGCAAGTCAGGTGGGCGACCTGGCTCAGGGGGTTCTCAGCAGCTCGGCCACAAAAGCCGGTTTCAGATCAGGAGGAACCCGGTGGGCGGGCTGCAGGGGAGGGCCACTCTGGGTGAAAACCAGGAGTTCTGTGACCAAGACCTACTCAGTCACATCTCTGGCTGGGTGCAGGGGCGCCTGCCAAGTCACCTGCCCTCCCAGCAACTCGGAGGTCAAGGCGGGAGGATCACAAGGTCTCGGGCACTCAGTGAGGTCCTGTGTCACAGTAGGAAGTAAGAAGTGGGTTGTGGCTCGGTGGCGGGCTGGATCCTCGGTACCAAACTAACAACACAGGCGTGTGCGACACACACCTACACGCGCATGCGTTTCTGGCTGGGAAGTCTAGCTTCTTGGGAGAGCACTCACTTCCCTACTGAGTGTGTGGCCCTGGCACTGCTCCTGATAATAGGATCCCCAAGGGAGCCAAGGGAACCCAGTGCTCAGGCAGGGAAACCAGGAGTCGCGAAGACCAGATGTGACGTGTGTCCTGGTGGGGCTCTGGGAACGCGGAGGCAGGAGGATGCAGAGCTTGGGTGCTAAGCAGCCCAGTGAGACCCGTCTGTCGATAAGATATATATATATATATATAGAAAGAAAGAGGGGGCTGGGAGGCGGCTGAGTGGTCAGGTTCCCCAGGTTCAATCCCTGGAACCAAAAACAGAGTAAAGTGTTAGGGAAGAAATCTGAATGAACTACGTCCTGAAGACTGAAAGCACATCAGCCCGTCATTAATTGTGATGACGTGCCACCCTTAATGAGATGTTAGGGAGAGGAAAGCTAGATGCAGAGATATGGAAATTCTGTACTATTTTTGCAATTTTTCTGTAGATCTAGAAGTTTCTTTTTAAAAATGCACACACATGGCTGGGGCTGGGGCTGGGTGGCAGAGCACCTGCCTTGCACACGTGAGGCACTGGGTGCGATCCTCAGCAGCACGTAAAATAATAAAGTCATTAGAAAACATGTTGTAAAATCTAAAAAAAAAAATGCTCATATATCTTACAGTCACCTGATGAATGTAAGCAAACACTTATTGGTGCTGGCAGCAACAGTGATTTAGCGCCTACTGTATACTGAGTACTACTATATAAAGGTGACTTACACACACGGTTATTCCTTAGGACAGTGCTGCAAGCTGACAGGGATTTTTGTTTTACAAAGGAAACTGAAGTACAGAGAGGTTAGGTAACTTGCTCACACCCTCCAAAAGGTTCAGCATAGATGAAGGCTCAGTTCAGATCGATGGAGCTGCAGCGCTCCCATTAAATACAGCGATACCGATTGGAAAGCCCACAGTGTGAGCCCCAGCCAGCTGAGCAGCAGCTCCAGGCAGTCAACAAACCCAGATGAGTAATAAAACAACAGCCAACTCACTGTCGCTAAGGGCTGGGGCTCGGTGCAGAGCGCTGGGGTGACCCCCAGCAACACAAAAAATAATACAGTAAAGGTGTGTGTCCATCTGAAAAGTCTTTAAAAAGAAAAGAAAATGTTATACAGTTTAAAAACAGCAAGTCCAAACCCTAACAAATGCTGGTGAGGATGAGGCCAGGGGACGCTGGCTTGGTGCTGGTGGGAATGCGGGTGACACCCTGCTTGGAAGAGTCTGGAAGTTTCTCACAAGGCAGCCAGAGACTCGCCTTGTGGCCCAGGACTGAGCTCCTGGGTGTCCACCTCCACGAGCAGAGAAACCCGCTCAGCAGCTCCGTTCATGACTGTCCAGGATGGAGTCCAACACCACGTCCCTCCACCCGTGGACGGACAAACAAGCGGTACCCCTCACGCTGCCAGCTGCAGAGACCTGGAGGGAGCCTAACTGCGTGTGGCAGGAGAGCGGCCTGAAAACCACTGACCGCGCGGCCCACCAAGCGACAGCCTGGGGAAGGGGACGGACAGACCCGGGAGGAGCCTCGTCGGCAGTGGAGACACGGGAGGGACCCAGGAGCCCAGAGTTTAGGGTGAGACCCAAAGAAGGTACCTGAGGGAACCCAATGCAGACAGGGACTCGGCCATCAGCAACTGACCAGACCAGTGGCGGGCGCTCGTCACGGAGAACGCTGCTCTCTCTGCTCCACTGTTCAGCCGCCCAGCTGCTTTACACACAGTTATTTAAAACACACGTGGCACACAGGATTTATTAGTGGTGGAAGTCGATGGCCCTGCACACAGCTGGCTGCGTGGCATTCACGCTCCAGACGCCTGCGGGCCTGGCAGGGAGCAGAGCCCCACACGCAGTAGGTCCCGACAGAGTCCTTCCTACCAAAGACGCCCTCTAAGCCCAGGCTGCCCTCGCTGTGCCCCAGGGCGAAGCTCCCGCTTGGTGGAGTCTGTGAGCTGTTCTCGTCTTGGTTCTTTAGTTTCAGTGGGAAATCCAGACAATAGCGCAGCATTTCCAAGTGGAGGAGGACGGAACTACCTTCCACTCCTGAGGGAGACCAGCCAAAACGTCTGCGCTGTGCCCGCAGCAGGAGGAGAGCTGGGCTCCGAGGGCCTTTCAGGGCTGGGGCGTGGTCCGTGCAGAGCAGCCGCTGAGCATGCGCCAGGCCCTGGGCTCCCTCCCAGCACTGCAAGGAGACAAGATGCACTGGACTCGCACACTGGACACAGAGGTCACTGGAGGCGGAGCTGTCAGCGGAAAGACAGGGGCCGCAGCGTCCTCCTCCCTCAGTCTGTTTTCCTGCTCATTCCCACACTGTGGTCACATGGGCAACGACTAGACTCAAGTTCTGCATCATAAAAGAGGGGCCAGCAGTCACGAGCAGTGTCCTCACTCGCAGAACTTGGAAATGCAACACGAGATCACGAGGTGCTTCAGAGAGAGATTCACACAAAAAAAGAAAAAGAGCCCGCACGAGCTTTTCCTCAGCAAACCCAGTCCTACAGCAGAGGCCAGGAACCGGGCATTTCCAGTTCCCGCCCACGGAGTCCACAAAAGCAGCATCCCCAAGGAACTCCTGAGGGGGGTAGAAGCACCGCATCAAGGTCGTCAGGAAGGTCGCCAGTCAGAGCTGAAATCACGGAACAGCGGACGTTTTTCAGCACGCGGAGGTCACTGGACGGAGGCCACAGGCGCCTAAGGAATGCTGCGGTGCAGGTCTTCCACCTCCAGTGCCCACATGCTTTCGTGGAGGGGATTCTCGGAGAGGTCGGTCATCTTGACGGCCTGAAGGCAGGGCTCAGGGCTGCAGGCCTGCACCACGCCCATCACCATCACGTACTTCCCTGGGAGAGAAGGCGCCCACGTTAGAAAGGGGAGGCAGCCCACGCAGACCGTCCCCCAGACCTGGGCTCCATCCCCAGCACCACCCACAAGAAAACCACAGAACCCCGAGGAGCGTGTCGGAGTCACCAGGAGACACGCGTGTACATCACTGAGCTCCACGGGACGCAGTTGTCAGGCACAGGGGCGTCCTGCCTCGGGGAGGGAAGGACTCACTCCAGGGGGAGTCGGGTCGGACAGACTGCCCCAAGGCAGGGGCAGAAAACCCAGCTTTCCTCCAAGTCTTGCTCTTGACGGATGCCAGAGGGCAGCCGCAGACCTGTGACCGCAGACCTGTGACCGGACTCTGCAGAGCCCCTCCCCAAAGCTAAAAGGAGACTCCAATTCCCCCGGATGCTGCCAGGGGTTGGGCAGTGTCACAAGCACGTCCCAGGCTGCCGCTGCTCCAGCTGCCCCCCCAAGCAGGGCACACATGGCAACACAGGGCAGCGGCCACCGGACACCTAACGACACCAGCCGTGCCCTCTTCCACTCCTGGGGGAAGAAGTCTGGTCATGAACCACACAGAACGCGACGGTGTCAAGAAGATCCCCAAACCCAGCGGGCAGGGCCGGCGCACTGCCACCCCCACCAGCCCCCACCCAGGCCGCCTGCAGGCAGCCAGCCCGGCCACCCTGGCCCTGCTCACTGCTGGCAGGCGCTCGGGTTCCCGCCTCATCTCCAGACTCCAGCTGGGTCCTGGGTGACAGGACGCTCATTTAAAACCCTGCAGGATGACCCCAAGAGCTGGCAGAGACGGGACCCTCAGAAACAGGCCTGAAGACCGGAGAGGCCACCAGACCTGCCGGGCAGGTGCCCGCGGCTAGGGGGACGGGCTGAAAGGCAGACCATGGCAAACCAGTGGTGATCATCCCAGCCGCGCCCTCCGCTTCCCCAGGAGTGACCCTCCCGGGGTCAGCTCTCATCCCTCCCACCTTGGCACCTTCAGTGGCTGCAGCCTGCTAGAAGCTGTGCCACCACAGGACCTGGTGGCCATCCAGGTGAGTGTCCCTCAGCCCAGCTGCACACTGACAGACCCGAGAGCAGCGAGGGGCCCTCATCCTCCGCTCCTGATCTTGCTGAGGGACGAAGCCAGGAGCAACAGCCCCGCGCAGGGAGTCTCCAGGCCACCTAGCAGGCCTTCCACAGCCACCAGGCTCATCGGGGGACTCCCTGCCCTCCACTGCTGCCCACAGGGCCTTTGCACGCCAGTGGAGGGGCCTGACCATCTCCTGCCCCTGCACAGACCCAGGGTGACTTTCTGACAACCAGAGTCCAGGGTCCTGAGTCCCAAGCGATCCAGGAGGGCGGGTCCACACAGCTGAGACGCGGCCGGAGCGCTGGGGCCTGGACCAGCTTTCCCTCCTCCGAGCTGCCCCCCCCCAGAACTGCAGACAGACCCGGAGCTGACCGGAGCAGCCCTCAGTGCCCCGCAGCTGGCGGCAGGGCCAGCCCACGGTGGTGCGTGCTCCCTCCTGGTGTGGGGACCCAGACACCAACTCCACAGTCCCCAGAGCCCCACAGGCAGACGCCATCAGCACCTCCAAACGCTGAAGGACGCTGCCCCCCCCCAGGCCCACAGCGGAGCACTGTGTGGAGTGGCCCCGCCCCCCGCAGGCAGTGACCCCCACCGTGAAGCAGCGCTTGGCACTAAGTGGCAAGAGTGCACTCAGGCCAGCGGGTGAGCCACTCAGGCTCAGAGGTGCCCAGCTCAAACACTAAGGCACCTACTGGGCGCCAGGCTATGCCAGGGCTGGGAGCACAATGTGCAGGGTGGGGGTGCGGAGGCCGACACCAGGCAGCATGGACCACATTCAGAGACCCAGGCCACGGGCTGCCAACGTGTTCTGCAAAGGGCCGGGCGGTGGACCTCAGGCCTGGCAGGCCCTACCAGGCTCCTCGCTGCTTAGTGACCTAGGACAGCAGCCCTGGCCTTCCCAAGTCACAAGTGCTTCAATAAACCCCACCGAGGGACACTCTGACATTCGGCTGTCATACACCGCGTACATGCCATGATTTTTTGTTTTGAACTCGTGGGCACTCGACCTCTGAGCCCCATCCCAGCCCATTTTGTATTTTATTTAGAGACAGGGTCTCCCCGAGGTGCTTAACAGCTTGCTGTTGCTGAGGCTTTTAATTCACATCCTCCTGCCTCAGCCTCCCAAGCCAGTGGGATGACAGGTCTGCGCCACTGTGCCCAGCACACGCCATGATTTTTTTCCAGCCATTTAAAAATGTGTAAACCAAACCAGCATGGTGGCATGCGCCTGCAGGCTTAGCGCTCGGGAGGCTGAGGCGGGAGGATTCCTCAAGTCCAAGAGTTCAAGACTGGCCTGGGCAAAACAGCAAGAGCCCATCTCAAAAGTAAAAAGACAGGGCTGGGTTGCGGCTCAGCGGCAGAGCACTTGCCACTTGTGAGGCACTGGGTTTGATCCTCAGCACCTCAGACAAAAATAAATAAGGGCATGCTGTCCATCTACAACTGTAAAATTTTTTAAAAAGTAAAAAAAAAAAAAAAAGATAAATAAAAATAGAAAACAAAGCTGTAAGTTCACAGGTCCTATGAAAAGAGGCATCGCCTGTGGTCTGCCAGTCCCGGGCTGGACTAAGGCTGCGGCCAAGAGCAAGCATACTGAGTCAACCTTCCACCCCACCCCGGTGTGCGGGAGCTGAGCTAAGGTCATGTCCACCTACTGAATCCACAGAGCAGGAAGGAATGACTAGCTCCTTTTCACAGAGGGTGGAAAAGTCCAGAAAGAGCAAAAGCATTCTCAGAGGGGAAGAATGTGGCTAGGAATTCAGCCCAATTGTCAGACCCTCCCTGAGCCGCGCACTGACCACTGCCCCATCCTTCCCCGAGCTAGAAAGCAAGACTGGGCCAGCAGGAAGGGCCAGAGATGGAGAGCCCGCAGCCCAATTTCACAGGGGCAGGAGCCACAGAGGCCTACTGTGTTCAAACTGCCAACACTGAGACCTCACACACCCCCGACACAAGCCTTCCAAGACCACATGGTAGTTCCACCAGGATCAAGGATGCTCCCAGGCTGTCTCCCCGGCGGGCCTGGAGGCCTGGTCTCCATCGCAGCCAGCACCTTGAATGGCCCCGCGGACGAGGGTTAGCTGACTTCCCAGGAAAGGAGTGAGATGAGATCCTGGGTGCCCGTGCCTGTCACCTGTGAACAAGTGGCTCTTGAGCACCCACGTGTCAGGCACTGGGCCAGAGGCTAGGGAGGAGCCGTCAGAACCACAGAGCTCCAGCCTGCCTGATCTCCATCTCGGCGGAGCCAGGGGCATGGCACTTCCTGGGAGCTGATCAGAAGTGCACATTCCAGTCCCACCTGGACTCCTGACACCCTGGGGCAGGGACAGCCCCAAGGGGCAGGGACAGCCCCAAGGTGCGGGGAGTCTGATGCCAGCTCAGGTCTGAACCCCAACATTTTGGAAGAACGCAGGCATTTCCCAGGACAGCATCTCCCAAGGCTTGATGGGGAAGACGTGAAGTCACCGGGCGGAGGCAGCTGGTGACAAATACAGCAGCCGGGGTCCTTCCCCAGGGAGCTCAGGAGGAGGGCCTGGGTGGCCCCGGGACCTGATTTTTAAAAACGTGCCCAGCTGCTGCTACTCTTGGCTGAGCTCAGGAGGGCCGCGGGGCCGCTGGCTCAGGAGGGCTGCAGGGCCGCTCAGGAGGGCTGCAGGGCCGCTCAGGAGGGCTGCAGGGCCGCCCGGGAGGGCCGCAGGGCCGCTCAGGGCAGTGCGCTGGCCCGGCACGTGGAAGACCTGGGCTCCCTCCCAGCCCCGCTCCTGGGAGGCTGCGGCCGGAGGCTCGCTGGAGCAGTTTGAGGCCAGCCTGGACAACGCGGCCAGACCCCATTTCAGAGAACTCGGAAAAGCTGGGAGAGGCGGGACCGGGACGGGAAGCCGGGTGACCGGGGACAAGGCCGGCCGCGGGCCTGGGGCCGCCCTCGGCGAGGACGCGGGCGCGAGGTTACCTGGGACGAGGCAGGGCCGCCCGCGCGGCACCCGCTCCAGGCCGCGCACCG